TCACACATTCGAATCTCATGATCAAATATAGTTTAAGAACTCACATATATCAAAGAAATCGCTCACTCTCACAAAGAAGTTACATACATACAAAAGGTACCATAGGCTTTCCCTTTATTTAAACCTCTGCTAATGTTGGCTCGCTTGATCTAAAATCAATTAGGACTTTCTTATAGTTGTAATGTGGGCTAAGGGACGGGTAGGATATATTTTAGGAATAGTGGATTACCCTCCTATGCACTTTAACACATCACAAAATTAATTTTAAGCACATTATTTTTCAATACCAACTTCAATTTCACAAACAATATCACCTCCAAAGACATTCCCTTTTACTTTAAGCACTACTTTAATTTATATCCCACTAGCAAGACAAGATATTAATTTATTTATCTATACCCATTTTTTAAAGATTTTTTTTCTCAACAACAACTTTTTCTCTTTTGTAATTTTTATCTTCTTTACAATTCTCGCTAGCGGATATCTTACGATACAAGTGCACCTTTTTTTCTTTTATTGGTTCCACTCAAAAGCCACCCAAGTTCCCTCCATGCTTCTTCTAGCGCTCCTTTATACTTAAAGTGCCTTAAGAGGTCAAAGGATCAAAGCAATATCAGTTAAGAACAAAAAGGATATAGGCTTGTAATATAAGTGCCAAATAAACGTTTATAGGCTCAAAAGGGTTAACTAGGGATAGTTTTTGTTTGTGATACCTAGTAAGCTCAAAATGATCAAAGAAGGCCTAAAATTATTTTTCAAATCGGGAATCACCTAAAATTTCGCTTCAACTCACATGCTGGATAAGTTCTAGACTCAATTAGAATGACATGAACTACACAAAAAAAAACCTCACTACACATGGCACATGACTCACTAAGGACGGTACCATTCTGACTCTCAAACTATATCAAGTATTTACGGATCCATAAGAGATTTAACATTAAGCACAAAGTAAATACTAGTCAAGAAAACGAGACATAGGCATCACAAGACATGCAATCTAATTCACCAAGGAATCATAAAACAATTTGAACACATAGGGATTATACTATACATGTCAAAGACTAAATATGATACTATCAAACAAGTTAAAGGAGCCTAGGTTCATCATTCTTCCTCCTTTTATTTTGTAAATACTAATCTACTCTAAAAATACAAACTATGACTCGGTTCAAACTACATCCTATGGAAAAGAACCGAGGCACAAATTAAAATCACGGGCGATTATTACTACCTAAAGAAAACTAAAAGACATATTCTTTGATTTTTTATTTTTTAATTATTTTGTGCTTTTTGTTAGACTTTAATCCCTCAAGAAAAATATGTACGAGAAAACAAAAAGCTAATCTAAATCTAGACTATTAAAAATGAAAAAATAAGAAACTAAAAGACACTAATATACTATTTAGAGAACAATGAGAATCCCCACCCCACACTTATTCATGCAATGTCCTTAGTGCTTATAAAAAATAAATAAAATCAAGAAGGGTGGTAAAGAAACTCCCTGATCACTCCTCGTCATCCTCATCATCATAAAAGGCTTTATCATCAGCCTCCAAGTCAATATCATCATTAGCTCCAACATCCCCATCATCATCTTCATCAGCCTCCTGCTCGGGCTATACTGGCTCAGGCTCTGAATGCTCCGGGGTATTCATATTTTCATCATCAGGCAACCTCTGGCCGTCACCAATCCCAACTAAATGCTGAGCATGAGCATTGAGCAGATAACGCTCATTCAAGTTTGCTCCTTCCTCTGGAGTCGTTTCCCACCCATCAATCCGCAATTGCAGGTCTAGCATCCCATAGAAGTGGGACATAAAACTATCATCACGAGCCTGACGCTCGGCACCAATCATCATCACCATCTTTATCCCGTATGCTAGTAATGTCGGTCTCTTGGAGTGCCACCGGAAAGATCATGTCAAATTCTTACTCCTCAACTACCTCTTCCTTTCTCGGTTATTGTGTCCGCATATTTCTAAAAAACAATTGATCCACCTTCTTACTTTTCCTCACCTACGCCATCTGGTGGACTATCAAATGACCCACATTTACTTTTGTCTTATCATCAATAAGTACCACAAATATACCCTCTCACGCCTAATATGGTTGTCGCGCTCGCAGGGTAATAATCAAGCATTAATCAACTGCAACCATACTTTAACCATAAATTTCAGCTTCTTTTTTGGGAATTTTATATGAAGGTGAGTGTTATTATCACGGACCCAGGAAACAATAGAGGTGACACCACACAAGGTATGTAGAATCTCTTGATAAGTTGGTCGGGCGATGAAGTTTCCCAATGGATCATGCCAGACATCAGATGCCCCCAAGTGAGCACAAAGGGCATAAGAAAAGATATCAATCAATGTCCCCCGAATTGGCACTAACTGCTCCTCATCTTCTGGATCCCATCTAGCATAGAACTCATGAACTAAGCTTGCATTGATGTAACCCAGATTTTTGAATACATATCTCAGACCCAAATCATGGATAGATCACCAAATAGACTGATGCTTAGATTTCAACCGGTGCTCCCCCACCTCTAAGTCCGGATGCATGTGTTTTTGCCGATAAATCTTATACTACCTTTTGGCCAATGGGGGTATGCTCTGATCCCATATTCGTGCACACCCCTAGGCCTTGGTCGTGATGCTGCCATAACCACAACCAAACGTATTCCTTTTCTTGACTATTAGATATAGCCTCTCCTCAATTCTTCTTCTTAGGTGGCGGTGCATAAGATATCTTTTTCGTGGTGGGGGATGTGGCCATGCCCTTACCTTTTTCCATAGGTTGTGCACTTGGGCTTTGGACGTAACATTTTGTACCTGTACATGTTTATGTTAGTCAACTCAGAGGGCCATGAATCAAAGAAAAAAGTGGTCCTAACGACCCTACTCTCAAGAATTTAGCACATAACTTGCAAGTTAATCAAGGCTACTCAGACTTCACCTCATTAAATCAAGCATGAGTGTATTCTCAAGAAAACTAGCACATATGGGAAGATAATATATGTACCCTACCTGAAACACTTACCCTGCCTCCGGTAAGCCACCCCACACTTAAAGTTTATGATAGGTAAACTTACAAACCACTAGTGTATCAATCCCAGAGAGTCGGGTTCCAATTGGGACAAAAATTTCCTTTGAGACAATTTAGCGATAATTTGGTGCGCACTAGTTACGGGTAAGCTTTTGTGTGGGTGAGGGTTTGCCTCACTCTCTCAAACTGGCTTGGGATTTGAGTGTAAACACTCCTCAAGAAATAAGCATACTACTTCTATGGGGTTGGGACATGCATGCACAATTTTACCATTACAACTTTCAAAAGGGTTGCATGTGTTCATAAACTTCTAATAAAACCACATAGAGGAGAGATAGAGAGAGATAGAGAGAGAGGAAATTCATACATGTATATGTTAAAGAGGGAGTGTGTGATGTAGAGCTAATGTTGTGATTTTTGTGTGTGTGATTAAGGGGTGTTGCGAGGTCCTTGAGTGAGAGAGAGAGACAGAGAGAGATGGGAAGTTAGGGTTTGCCAGTGTGTTTGGGTCGTGGGGCAACTGATACGGGGATTTAAGGGGGTGGGCGTGTGTTTAAGAGAAAAGAAAAAAAGATAGCTTATTTGGGCCTCGCGAGGCTCCTTGCGTGACTGGACTGGCAACGCGGAGTATGGGTAGGAGTGGTAAACGGACGGGTCGGGTCGGATATGGTTCGGATCGAAACGGATAATGGAAAAACGGATAAATTATCCGACCCGATATATATTTAATACGGATAATAAACGAGTTAACCGGCGAATAAAATGAGTAACCATATTATCCATCCATGGCTTCACATTTGCCTCAAGCTCTAATATGAATTTGCTGCCCCTTGCAAGCAACAAAAGAATATTTTTTTGATATCAAATCAGTGACTTAGAGCAATTTCGAGATCATCTATGTCTCTAAGCTAAATATTGTTTTATGTCAATATAATTCAATAATTTATATACGCGCACTCACACATAAGAAAATCTGTTTTTGTCATATTAAAATATATTTTCTCGGTGAAGAAAATTTAACCGAACTGCAAAATCACAACTAAGAGAACAGCTTGAGCTGACTCAAGCATTAACATATTCTTATTAAAAAACAAAAATAATCTCGTATTACTGTCAATTTTTTCATCATACAAAAAGTTTGTACCAAAGCAAATTTACCTCCTTCATATGAAGTTTCAAATAAAGTGCCTAACTACTAATGCTGACACTATTGATATCTTTTTGTCATTTCGAAAATATACTGTAATGAGTTCCTAGCTACATGGTACATATATTTTTATAGCAATTTATTTTTGATAAGGTAATATTTATAGCAAGTTTAACAGTATCAAAACATGTGACTTTAATATTTCCAACTGAGTATTATGATTAAATATAAAAAAATATAAAAAATTCACTAAAACTCTTCATTTTCAATTCAAGTAGTAGGGGGTTGACTAGTTCTTCATCAACAAATTCTCTATCCATTCTCTTCATTTTCTCGTTCCCTCATCCATTTTGTCATCTGCAATTCCTTTTTTTTTACACCACTGCAACCAAGAGGAAAAAGATCATATTTTTACATCACTGCAACCAGCAGGAATCAAGAATGGTGCATTTTAAACCAGATAACAAAATACATTGAATGCACTGGCAACATACATTGAAATGCACCAGCAAAATATAATGAAATACACCAGCAAAATACATCGAAATACAGAAAATCAGCTGTACTTAGATAAATCTGTCCAATTTTGCGAATATGAGTAAATAACAGGAGGAGAAAATCAGCCCAAACAATGCAGAAACAGTGTTGAAAAAAACAGCTCAAACTGTGCAGAAACAGGACAGGCTTTAGGCAGCAGCAATGCAGAAGTTTAGGCTACAGAAAAATCCTGCAACGCTCACAGCTGGTACCTAGATTTTCTGGACAAAAACAACAGTGCATGAGCTTCTAAAACTGGCTTGTAGACCCTTCAATTTACTGTTAAGAATGCTGCTCAAATCCTGCTGAACTGATGCCCGAAACAGTACAAATATTGCACTCAAACTATAGAAATCTGCATCATATGTTGTCGGCCGAATGGTTATGCAATTAGACAAGTACAAGCAAGTCATTTGTGTGAGATGCATAGACCCTTCCGTTCACCAATCATGGCATCATAATTAAATTAATCACCAAAAGCATCAGTATATACTGCTAAGATATGAATCTTAGCAGCAGAACATCATAAATATTAGAATAGTTGGTTCAATAGAATCCCAAAAGTACAAGAAAATAGAAAGAGAACAACAGAGGGCACTCTTACCTCTAAGTTTCGCAAGATAAGGTTGAAGATCAATAGCAATCTCATCTTCTTCATCAGAGTCGGATCCATCATCAAGATCTTATACAATTTAAAAAGAAAAAATATTACAGTTTATTAGTTTTTCAAAAAAAGAAATAAACCAATCTAGAGAAGATTAATTTACCTTCTCTTCCACAAATCCAATCTCTAGTACATAGCTTTGCCTCGGCATTTGCGGGAAGAATAGAACTTTGAAACTTTTCAATGACACGACCACCTATGCTAAATGCAGATTCAGAGGCTACTGTGGTGATTGGAACACTCAAGATATCTCGTGCCATTAATGAGAGTTCTGGATACCTTTGCCTGTTATCCTTCCAATATCCAAGTACATCCAGATTCGGATTTGTTTTACGGTCAAGATTAGCTTCCTCCAAATACAAGTCTAGTTGTGTTTTACCGGTACTTGACTCCAACTGACTTTCAAACTCATCAAACTCATCAAATGCATCCCTCATTTCGTTGCTACCACTACTACAAGCTTGATCCCCCGATAACGAGGTTGTAGTCGAAGGTATCAAGTACTCTTTGAATAATAATTGTAAGTTATCTTCAATAGCCTTCACTTTTTCATTAGCAATCTCCTCAGGATGAAGCTTTGAAAAGCAAAACTTAACAAACTTCAATTTATATCGAGTGTCAAGGACAATAGCTATAGATAAAATGACACTATATGACTCCCAATATTTCTTAAACTTTCCCAACATCAAAGAGCCCATCTCACTCATCACTGAATCTCCACTGTTTTTTTGTTCTTCCAATAACATTTCAATTCTCCATACGTTAGGAAGATACAAATTAGCCGTGGGGTATTTACATACAGAAAACAAGGTCATAATGTCATAAAATGGCTTCAACAACTTAGCTATAATCTCAACCCTTTTCTATTCATCTTCAGAAAGGTCATGTCTAAAATCAACGTCAAGCAAGTTATAGTGAATATAAGCTTGCCGATAAAGAAGAGCACTTTCAAACATTTGGTAGGTGGAGTTCCACCGAATAGGCATATCTTGACGTAGCTTCTTAGAACATGGTAGACCAAGATTACTAAGACACTCCACAAATTTTATTATTCTTGTTTCTGAATTCTTGATATGCTTAACACCTTCTCTAATTTTTGCAATAGCTACATCAGCCTTCTCTAAGCCCGTCTTCACAATTGAGTTCAAAATGTGATTCCCACAACGAACATGAAGAAATTTTCCGTCACAAATTAGTGAACGCATCAAAGACAAATGATTCTTTAAACTATTTACTACATCATTATTGCAAGTAGCATTATCCAAAGTAAGGGTAAAGATTTTCTTTTCGATTCCCCATTCTTTAAGAAAGTTAATCAATAAGGGACCTAAAATCGCACTCGAATGTGGAGGAGGAATATGACGAAAAATCAACACCCTCTTCTGAAGCACCCAATTCAAATTCACATAATGAGCCGCTACATATAGCCATTAGATGCTAATGAAGTCCACATATGTGATGTTAAACACACTCTACTAGGAATAATGACAAGCTCATTTTTTAGAAGTTCTTTTTCGCTTGCATACATATTCAAGATATCTGACTTGGCTGTACTTTTTGATATGTGCTTCGCTACTGGATTTAAATATGAATGAAGGTCCCTGATGCCTTTATGAAATACAAAACTTAAAGCATAGTTATGCTGACTATGGCTAACGATATTTTTTCTCGATAAACTTTCTGATCTATCGGTTCACTTTGACCCTCTTTTGCATTATTCAACGGATGTTTTATCAATAAATGTCGCTTCGAATTTGATGTTACAAATTTAGGATTGTATATGTAGTCTATTTACAAAGCGTGCATTGGACTTTAAACTTTCCATCACTAGAAATACTAGGCTCTGTTACCTTAACAAAAGAATCCCAAACAGTGGAAATTTGTCTTTTTGATCGTTTTAGCGTAAGTGAAGAGCTTTGTTCACAAGAATTAGCAATACCTTCCATCGACATCTCTATCAAAAGATGAAGTAAACAGTAGGAATTAGGCTCGATATAAATTAATTTATTAATAAGTAACAGAGAATGCAATACTCTGGAGTTAAAAATTACATCTAATCTTGGCTTACTCAGCGTTTTTCTCACCTTTGAGATTGCTGTAACACTTTCACTCTTGTTTTAAGCTTCAAATACTCCTGGTAGGTGTTCTATTTTCACAAAACCAAAGCAAGCAAATCAATTTGCTCAATGTTAGTCACCAACATTAACTTTTACACTATTTTCAGGTGAAAACTGAACTATTTCCTAAATTTTCAACAAACTTTAATTTGAGAAATTATAAGGCTCGAGGAAGAAGAACGAACCTGTTAATCTGTTGAAGGTTGGCTTCCTTCAAGTGCAGCATAATTGTATTAAGATTCCGAGTTCAAAACGCTGGGATTTCAAAATGCTTTGTTTGAAAACGCTTCCTTCAATCTCTTGGTTTGCCCACTGGGATTTCAAAATGCTTCCAAGTTTCAACTAACCAAAATATTGTGAAAGGAAATTGAAGCCTAGAGAGGAGAGAATTATCGGAAGTTGGAACTCATCGGAGAAGTTGCCGGCGATGCGTTGGGAAGAAACGGAGAGATTTGAGGAATTGGAAATTTAGGGCTTTTCTATTGAAGTGGTGAAAATAGCCGACAGTAGCAAGCGAGTGGGGCGGGCAAGGGTTAATACGAGCTACTGCTCGCGCCTGGCTAGGCGATGCAAGGACTGTGGTGAGGTAGGGACCTTACTAGGTGTCACGACCCAATTTCATATTAGGTAGTGAAGGCGCCTAACGCCACCGCTAGGCAAGCCAACTGTGAGCTAGTCACATGATTTCCTCTTTTTAACAAATTCTTTTCCAAGTAATTAAACTTTCCTTAATAAAAAAGAATTTGAGAAATAACAGATCTAAAATAAATAACACGAAAGCAACTGTGTGCAACCATAATCATAGAATAAAACCAAAATCGCAAGTCTACTAGTGTGTGCCAAGACCTGGTGTCACAAGTATATGAGCATCTAGTAGAATATACAAAAGAATACTAGTCTATTGTCCGAAGTGAAATAGACAGAAAAAAATATAATCAAAGAAAAGACTCCAGCTGCTGCAAAACGGGCTTAGAAGGTAGCTCACCGTGAAGCCTCGAAGTGGTAATCAAGTGCGCGCGCTGGACTGATATCCAGATGCACTGCCTCAGATCCTGCACATTTAAGTGCAGAAGTATAGCGTGAGTACATAAACAATATTTACCCAGTAAGTATCCAGTCTAACATCGAAAAAGTAGTGATTAGGGATCGACTTTGACACTTACTATGGGCTAACAATAATATGTCACAATTTTAATTAAGCATGGATTACAAGAAGAATACTGAAAGCCCAATAACAGGAAACAATAAATAATCCTTTCACCAATATTAAGTCCCAAATTTAGTTTTCCATCATCTAACAATTTATATCTCAAGCCAAAGAAGCAATATCAATTATAATTAGTTCCAAAGATTTATCATGCGCAAATTATGCTGAGGTCGTACGGCCCGATCCAACATAATATTTAAACTGTGTACTGCAGAGGGTCGAACGGCACGAACCATAGATGCATCTATCTTCTACCGAGGCGTTCGGCCCGCTCCACAAATAGAAAAATATTTTAAGAAAAACACAAATTCTCAATAACAGTCAAGTGTTCCATTCACAACTTCAAGTAGGGTACAAACATTGTAAGTATAGCATGATATGGGTCATAGACAACCCAGACAATTGCATAATTAGTAGCTACATACAAACTCTCGTAACCTCGTGCGTACGTAGCCCCTACAAATAGAAGCACATTTTAATTCAATTCACCTATGGGGTTAATTCCCTCTTACAAGGTTAGAAAAGAGACTTATTGGGTGCATGTTATATATAAACTAATCAAATAGTATATAAACTAATAAATACATGCTCAAAAGTTCGTATCTCAATTATTAAAGAAGTTACCCAATCCTAAATGTAAGATTCTTAAAATTCACCCCCGGGACCACTTGCCCGGATTTCGAAAATTTTCTAAGAAAGTTGTTACCCATAACCTTATGAACTCAAATATATGATTTTTACTGGATTCCATAACGAATTTCATGATTGAATCTCATTTTTATCAAAAACCTAGGCTTTTCTCCTAAACCCATGCTTTTCACTAATTTACATGTTATAATTTACCCATAAGTTATGTATTTGACCCATATTTGGTAGGAATTACTTACCTCAAGTTGTTAGATGAAAATCCTCTCTCTAAGAGCTCTAAGAATCACCCAACAATGGAATAAATGAAGGATTCTCCCTTCAGCGGTTTCCGCACCTATGGAGGGACTTTCGATTCTGCGGGACCGCTTTTGCAGTCAAAAGTCCGCTTCTATGGAACCGGCCTGGCCACTCACCCATCGCACCTGCGGAGCCAGGGCCTCTCCTGCGCAACCGCTCCTGCGGCCGACTCTTTCGCACCTGCGAACACAGCCGCTTCTGCGGTCAGAGTCATCGCACCTGCGCGTTCGCAGGTGTGCCAAACTCCTCGGTCCTGCTGATCCTAGGCAGCCTTGGCTTGCTCTCTTCTGCGGCTCCTAGCTTGCAAGCACAGGTGCGATTACACCAGCAGCTGGGAACTTCAGCTATTGCTCCTAAGTTTCAACTTGGTCCGAGCCTCGTCCGATCGATACCTTGGGCCCCCGAGGCCCCGCCCGAACATACAGACAAGTTTGAAATCATAAAACGAACCCGCTCGAACTCTCGTAACGCCCAAAATGACATTAAAACTAATAATCACACCCCAAACCAATTGGATCAAAATTATGAACTTTAAGTTTTTCAATTTACTCCCAAACGCCGAAACGTACTTACACTGCTCGGATTGATACTAAATTTTGCGTGCAAGTCTTAAATAGCATTACGGAACTAACCCCGATCTTGGAATTCCATTCGGACCTCGATATCACCAAAGCCTACTCTAAACCAAATTTAAAGAACTTCAAGAACCTTCAAGGAACAAACTTTCAATATTAGGTGCCGAAACGCTCTGGGGTCATCCACAACCCGGTCCGAGCATACGCGCAAGTCCAAAATCACCATACAAACCTATTGGAACTGTCAAATCCCGATTCCAAGGTCGTTTACTCAAAATGTTGGCCGAAGTCAAACTTAGCCTTTTAAGGCCAACTTAAGAAACCAAGTATTCCGATTTCAACCCGAACCCTTCCAAATCTCGAACTAACCATCCCCGCAAGACATAAAATAGTAGAAGCATATACAGGGAGTCTTATTAAGGGGAACGGGGTTCTAAAAAGTAAAACGATCGGTCGGGTCGTTACACTAGGAGGGTTCTGAGGCGCACATAAGTAATTGTCATTATGTTTTTTGGACTCCTTTATGCGCTTTGACCTCCTGATTTCGCTCCCGATCACATCTTTCGATTGGATTGCACCCATACCTATTGAAACAACAACAATTCACATA